AGGCAGAGCACACACATGCACACAGGGGAGAATGCGAGCACACACCGGATGCATCAGTAAACGCAGTGAAGAGAACATCAGGCATCTGGCTTTTATCTGACTCAAATGCAAGACGAAAGAAAGAAAGAAAGAAAGAAAGAAAGAAAGAAAGAAAGAAAGATCACAACTCTAAGAGTTTAGTTTGATACATGACAGTCTTACAATCAAAGTTCCCTTTCTGTGTGTATGTGTATGTCCTCTCCCGCTTCTTCATCACAACAAGCCTTCCTCTCTCACCCACACAGACCCCCCTCCTTTCTCTCTCTCTCTCTTTCACTCTCTGTCCTCACTCAACCCTGTAACTAATGACTCTAGAGGAAGCAAACACACACCCACACACACAAATAAACACTCAAACACACACACAGAGGAGGAGGTGAGAAAAAAACAGTACAGGAGAGAGGATGAGGAGGAAGGGGGGGGGGGTCAGATGAAGAGAAGAGAAGAGAAGAGAGGTAAAAAAAAAAAAGAAGAAGGGGAGCAGAGAAGGGGAGTGAAAGCCAGGAGGTGCCAAGGACAAAGTGGAGGGGAGAGGAAGAAAGGGAGAGAAGAAGGGAGGGAGGTGTGAAGTGTCACTGCCAGTGGTACCATCTCTCTAATTAGCATAGTGACCTTGGTCCTCTGTAACTGTTATTGTACACACAAACACACACACACACACAGTGCCCAGTGCTCATATGCATATAATAGAGTGTGTGTTTTGTGTTTGCATGGTAAAGTAGTGCCTGGTATGAATTTTAATGCACAATATTTTTCTAAATTTTTTTTACTTAGGAAGATCGGTCTTTTGCAATGACAACATTTCACATACATTTCTCACACACATGAAAACACATGAACACACACACACACACACACACACACGCACACGCACGCACACGCACACACACACACACACACACACACACACACACACACACACACACACACACACACACACACACGTCCCTGGCCACTCTACTGTCCTTTCTGTTGTTTTTTTGGCAAGTGCAGCGTGTCAATGCAGGATTCGTGGACACAAGGAGAAGCATAGAAAATAGAAAACAAAGAAAAAGGACACACATGCCCTCATCACATACCTGTGCAAAGTAAATTACACAAGCTGTGCTCTGTGACTCAACACTAAATAAGCTACAGCAGAAGCTAAGAATACTTTAAAAATAGTATTTCTATAAGTGAAACAAGAAATATTATTAAAAGATTGTCCTGTCTTCAGTGTAAAAAAGGAAGTTTAAGGGCGAGGATAACTTAAAGACAGACACAAAGATGGAAAGTGAGAATGACGCAGGAAGAGAGAGAGAGAGAGAGAGAGAGAGAGAGAGAGAAGCGAACTATGAGAGAGAAGAGCAGGCAAGAGAGAGGGGGAGTACAGCTGTAGCAGTAATCATCTTCCAGGTCAACAGTAATTACCAAGAAGACTGAGGAAGTGAGTGTAGGACACACAGTCTCTTCTCTCTTCACATCTCGGCTTGCTGTATTTTCTTTTTGTCTCATTTATTTTCGCAACCAAAACATGCACCTATCTCAAAGTGAATGTAGGTGCAAGCTGAAGGGTTTAATGGATAAAAAGGTTTCTCATAGTGAGTACAATTATATATGCACCAACAGTCTAATCTTGCCTCAGATGTGCTCCAATTAATTCACAGGTAATGTCAGGAAGTTACTCTAATAATGGTAAACTGTGAGGTTGAATGTTCAGACTTACACTATGAGATATACAGCTGCTTCAGACTCTCCTACTGGCATTTTAAGCAACTTTAACCTTCTTGCCCTGAGTTTAGCCTCTCAGGCAGCACATACCACCCACATCCCTCACTTGATGCACAACACAGTCAAGTATACAACTTGTGTTTCTATTGAACTTGAACTTTATTGACTGTGTTAACATGCTTTCCACTCTCTCACCTTAAACACCGACTCAACAGAAATGTTTTTCCCACCCGTTTCTCACTCTAATCACACTAAAATTTTAGTGAAGCCTTTTAATGAGTTATGTCTCTCAATTTTAACTCTGCTTGTTAATGCTGCTCTGTGAATGACAGGTGATTTTAAAATGTGAATGTAGAGAACAGGAAAGATTGTGGAAATGTCACAGGCTCCATGTCCACTATATCCACCTGATGGAGTTACAATGTTCAGTGAAAGTTCATCTGAAACCACTGACAAAACTGTCTCCAATGTTTTGTCTGCTATTCATTACTTCATAGATGTATTTATTACTTTGTCAGTAAGGTTAAAGACATAGTATCTCCTGTCAAAACCAGAACGCAGTCCATCAGATATGAACCTCAACAGTGTCTTTTCTTTTTGTACTTCTTTGTTAAAATATAGACTTCACTAGTGTCTGATAATTAATCATAAGATTTAATCATTCACAAAGCACCTTTAGTTTGCTATGAAACATACAGTTTTACAAGGTAGTAGATGAAGGTTTTGTGTATTTTTCTGTGGTGGTACCATTTAACATGGTTTGTGGGATTCCTGGCAACCCAAGGTAACTTTAGATATACTGCATGTGTTTACCTTCATATTTTTTATATAATGTGTAATATATGCTGCAAATATACCAAAGCTATGTGAGTTTTAGCATTTTGATAGAGGTAAGACAAATGTATTGAAGGCATTACCTTTAAGCAGCATCATAAAACATTTTCTGACCCTGCATGTCATTCATATCATCATATTAATACCATGTCTGGTTCATTTGATTTCACGTCAATATTTCCCAAGGTTATGTCCAATGTTTTTGGATATTTAAAGTTATAGGGGCTATTTGTAAGTGGTGCTACTGCTACAGAGCTAACGTTAGCATTAACAGCTGTTTCCTTACCAGTCTAGAAGAAATATTTCAAATTCAACATCAGACTTCATTCCTTTCCTGGCCAGGAGCTGTCTCCCGCAGTGGAGAGCAACCCTCTTATTTAGTTTCTCTATCGTGTCTCATCGCTTCCCAATACCGAGTCAGTGTAGCGTCCAGTCTGCCCTGAAGCAGTAACACTGCTCAGAGGGCATATTATGTATTGTACTCTTGTATTATAAATGCAATAATGGCTGAAGCTCTTGGAAAGGCCGGTGAGTAAACAGCTGTTCTTGCTAACATTGGCTATGTAGCAATAGGAAAACTTACAAGTAACTCCTTCAAGTGCATTTTATGCTTTGCTGAATTTATCTTTATAGATTAGATCCCAAGAACACACTCACAGTGTTTGGCCCAGCATTTCAGACCAGCACAGGCTCAGTAGTGATGTTCAATGTGAGATCAGTACAGTGTTATACAAACCTCCGCTCCCTAAAAAAATAACCAATATTCTCCTTTCTTGAATGTCTCATCTCTCTTTCACAAAAGCTAATCACCTCCTTTTTTTTCCTCTCTACTTCCTCCTCCCTGCTCTCTTTGGAGGTAAAGCTTTCAACTCTCGAGCAGATAAGAACAAGAACAAAGGTTTCTGTCCCAGCTAACCTACAAACATCAGTGTACTCTGAGAGAGATGTAAGGACTAGCGTGGCTTGAGTTTTCACTTTGACAAATTTGTCTCTGTCAGTCTAATTGGTACTGAATGCATTAAAACCAAGATTTTGTCAAACCCCAATTAAGCTGCTCATCTTACAAAATGTTAAAGGCTCGAGCTGGAAATCCAACATCGGTGAAACTGACTTTCTCATTGCACCCTGATTCAGGAAAGTTAGCCAGGACATCAGCAGCTCTGTGCATAATTAGTTCATGAAACAGTAAGAAGGCTGTGTAATTTCATTTGGAATTGACTCCTTGCCCTCTATTCCATCCCTCCGGAAAACTCGATCTCCAAGGAGTTGAGGGTTCTCCTCTCTTTAATAACAGCTAAACACATCAACACTGCTTTTCCAAATGCCCCCCCAAGCCGTTACGAACAAAATAAGAGATGGAAGTCTAATGAAAAGAGGTTTAATAGAGGAGCAAGGCAAAGGTGGCTCAGAGGCTTGCTGCTGTTTAATTCAATGGGATGCTCCTGATGCCTGAAGACTGGCCCATTTTAATTGCACTCCTCTCTCATTTATAAAAGGAAGCATGCAGCGATACAGCCTTAATGAATCTGAAAGCAATGCAGGCTATTCAGTGTCTTTTTCTCACATGTATAGAAGTATAATGTGATTGTGCTGGTTAAGCCCACATGTTTTGGTACAACATTGTTGTCCACGACTGCCAGCTACACACACATGGGCAGCAGAGTAACCTGTATGCTTTCTTTGAGAGAAAAGACACACTGGAGTATGGGCAATTCATTGCTACTCTATAATGATGTGATTCATGTTCATGTTGCGCTCTCTGTCCTTCACACGCAACTTAATGCGTGCGTGCGCACACACACACACACACACACACACACACACACACACACACACACACACACACACACACACACACACAGTTCTACAACTACAAACATAAATGATTATTGCCTTTTGAGGAGAAAAAAAAGAAATGGAGAATATAAATAGAGAAAATTGAGAACAAATACAAGAGAAATGAGGGAAATAAAGACCAAAAAAAGAGTACAGGGGGAGGAGGTCGGTGCAGCTGTCTTAATCATCTGCTCCATCCTGTCTCCCATCTTTTCAAGGATTTGATCAATAATCTCATCATTGACCATAGTCATTAATCAATATATGGGCTCAATCAATAATCTCATCATTGACTAAATCAAAGCTGCAGCTATCGGTCTCACATCAGTCAATGTAACAGAATAAGTGATATACAGCAAATCCAGTTACTATCAACATCACACTATTGTATCAACCATATACAGTAGTGTCAACTATCATCAACACCTTTACCATCATCACCTCCAACACCATCAGCTTCAGTCCAGGGTTTACAGACAGTAACTGCACCTACCTGGAGTTTACGGCATCGCAAGAAAGCCAGAGATCTCAGTAAAAACAAGTAGAGCAGACCAGAGAGTGAAGGGCGGGGTGAAGCTTACCTTCGCCATCTGTGCCTGGACTCCACTAGCTTTGAGCGAGGCCACAGCCTTCTGGGCTGCTGCAGGGCTGTCAAAGTCCACGAAGCCATAGCCTGTAAACACACATGACAGTGGTAACACAGAGGTAAGGAGGAGCAGAGTGAGGATAAAAGGATAAAAAGACACAGAATAAAAGAAATATCAGTTGATGTTGGTCTCAGTACTACAGAGTTAAACCAGTCAGTGTTCATTTCTGTCAGAAATACAAGCCTGTGTCTTGTTTTCAGCACTGCATTAATCAAGTCAGGTCATGTATTTAATGAAAGCTGCAGGTTCCTCCATTAAATGTGTTGCAGCACAGAGCATCAACAGTAATGAACAGTTACTCTTGCTTATGATCCAAAAGATCTCCTAATGTCTGCACAAGCTCTTTATTACAGCTCTTTGCACTAGAATTATGACCATGTTTTCTAATGACTCCAGTGTCTCTCACTGTAGGCTATTTCATAATGGTGCTGCTCCATCGCAGTCTGTAGATGTACATATATTCTATACCATGTGTATAGTAACTGTATGCTGAATGAATTCTTCGTTTACGTGTCAAATCTACTGCATTCCTATTGTTTGACATTTAGTACCCCACTGCCTTACATATGAGCTCATTTTGTCCCTGCACTACTCTAAATCTGTCATTACACTTGGTGCTTCTACAGTAGTGGTCACTGCTGTATGGCTCGGCACCAGTAACAGCCTGAGAAATTCTCTGCATTTAATGCAGCGATTAAAGTAATTCAGGGTCTGGTTTAAAGAAATAAAGATGCACAGAAAATGTAACCCAGTCGATTTTATTGCAAAGAGGTCTGCATCATTTTGTGTGTGTGTGTGCGTGTATGTGGACAGTTTATCAGTCAAATTGTCAGCGCTCTGGGGATCTAGTTTGGGCCCTACAGGAAGCACCGAAGGACAAAAGATCTGAACAAACACATATCAATCTCTGCTTTCAGAAATACGCCCTGTTTTACTGGGTCACATGGGTGGGGCTGGAAAGAGATGTCAAAGAGGCAAAAAAAAAAAAAAAAAAGCAAAGAAGACACAGCCAGTCTGCTGCGTGAATGACAGTTCACATTGCAAGGGTGTGTGGTATTTGTGAACAAAACCAAGAGACTGTTGCGAGAATAGTTCTGACAGTATTTGCGTGTGTATAAGAGAGACTAATAAAAGAGAGATATTGACACGCATGAGTTAAGCCGGAGAGAGAGAGAGAGAGAGAGAGAGAGAGAGAAATGTTTGGAAAGCACAGCAGCTTTGGAATTCCAGCTGTAGTTTTGAGTGGGCTGCATGTTAACACAATTAAATGATCCACATTTTAAAAGCCTCACTCATCACAATCCTAAATGTAAACACGTTCACAATGTGGGAATACACTTCCTCCGTCTCTCTCTCTCTCTCTTTCTCTCTCTCTCTCTCTCTCTGTCTTCATTCCTAACATCTGTTCTTGTCTGTCTGTCTTTTCCAGGATTTGGAGCCGTGCTCAGTTTTGCTGATAGGCAGATGATTTTCTTATTGTTCAAAGGCAGCAAGCTGCTCTCCCAGCAAGATCTGCACCGCTCACACAAATATTTATACTGCTGCTAATGAGAAACCCATAATTTAGCCAAAATAGGGTAACGCAAACACACGTGCAAGTACTGTATAGCCCGTACACATATACTGTGCATACATTAGTGACTGTGACAATCTGCATCCACACACATCCACACACACACACGCACACACACAAACACACGCGCACACCACATACACGAGCATTTGCTGTTTTTTTGCACTTAATCTATATTTACCTAATTAGGTCCACACCAAAACAGTTGAACTAATTGAGAATGCACACACAGTATTCATCAGTCGCCTGCCAAGATGCTCTCATTTTATTCCAAAAAATGTTTTTAAAAATTCCACATCTCTCATATTTCACACTTCAACTAATGGGTGTTTGTTTAACCATGGCCTGTCCATGTAATTAGTGAGAAAATAAAGCCTGAAACAGGGGCTCACAATGGATAATTCAATCAGCAGTAGAACAAAACAGTGGCCTTTTGTTTGATGGCAGCAGCTACGACATGTATCAGTGGTGCACATGGTTGTTGAAATAGAGAACGACTGCATTTATAAAGCTGGTGCTTTAAGGACAAATAAATGTAGCTACATGAAAATAATGAGCTGCACGAGCTGTCTGTGTGCCAACTATATAAGTTACTCATGTGACAAAGCTTTATTAGAGATAAACATATTTCAGATCAGTAGATAGAGATTTGTCAGCCTCCACACTAGACAGCAGCTGTGACACTGACTCATTTAGAGTACTTCATTTGTTGAGTGGTTTATTTAACCATTTTCATTTTCTCCTGTGTAATAATTAAGCATGAAATTCATTATGAATTATTATATTTCTGTGATATGAGGGCAGCAGGGGGTTCCATGATACAGCAGGTCTGCATAAAAATTTGAATTTTACCCACCATTAGTAACCTGTGGCCTTATGTAATTGTCAATTTTCAATTATTTGAAGCCATCCAGGATGTAAAAATGAATGGAGAAAAAAACAAATACTAAAATATAATAATATAATACTAAAATTTTGTCATAGAGACAGAATAACGCTGGAAAACATGAAACACTATGAAACACTGGAACATTTAAAGCCCTGTATAACATTTGTATAAGGAAAGTATCTGGTGACCATAACATGATTTTATCCAAATGAATCGTAATTTTTCTGAGTAGCAATACGAGTACGTGGAATATTCATAACACACATCGGCAACACCACACTGAATGTGGGGGTAACTCTGGCACTAATAGTAAATTCTCTTACCCACGGCACTAAGGTATAATGGGCCGATTGTGCTAGTTTACAATTAAACCAAAGGCTTAAGACTTTAATCTGTAGTGTAACCAGGAGACACTTCTTGGAGCTGCTTTGCTTACAGTGATTTACACATAAACCATGAAGGCTCATATGAAAATGTGTCCGTAGTATTACTGTGCCAGAAAACTAAGTCCATGTCCCAGGGGCCGTGTATATGCTCTCTAAATAAAATATTGAGTTGTTGTAGACATTGGCATGTAATCTAGCTTTGCGCTGCATATTTTAGTGCGTCCTCACATCTAAATACGTTCGAGTGCTGGCTTGGGGAACGATACATATCATACCAGACACCGTTCATCTTTCTATAGGCATGAATGATAGGCATATTCTTTCTCCAAGCGTTCCTCTCCATGACTAGTTTGGTGTGACAGAACGTCAGCCTTGAACAGAATGTGCCATTTGCTTTACTCTATTCATCACTCACGGCGAGATCTGTGAATTCTGAAAATGTATTTGCCCCTCTCTTCAGGGAGGTCAGAGGTCAAGTATCAGCGACAGAACACACCCCAGAAGCCGGTAGGCATTCATTGTTTTGCTCAAGGACACTTCAGCTGGTTGGAAGCTTGCTGAGTCTGTGAGCAGATGCCTGCCTTAACAAGCTGATAGACACTTTGCCAAATTACTCCACTGATATTTCTGCCCAATATGTAACTTGTACATTTTCAAATAACCAATACACTAAAACCCTCCCCTCTTTCATCCAGTGAAAACTCTCATCTCATGTGGATGTAAATGATAGCTCTTCTGATATGGATATTTCCAGAGAATGGAAAAATGAAAATAATATCTCTGAATTATATAATCCTCCTCATGTGTGCCCTGTCCCTCCCATCTGTGGACTCATGATGACACAGAGATGAAAATCCATCTTGCTCAGTCAGGCCTGGCAAATATTCCACTTGTGAATGAAAAAAAAACATTTTATTACGAAGAGCAAACACACGTGAATACACACGCATATGCGCTCACAGACACAGATGGAAGCGCAGATGAACACACACACACACACACACACACACACACACACACACACACACACACACACACACACACACACACACACAGACACACACACACACACATCCCAAGCTTCCATCTAATCTCCTGAGCTCCCAGGGTTCCTGGCCTTGGGCCATTAGAATGGGCTAACCGAGTACAGAGGGAACAGGAGAGAGACGGAGCAAAGGAGGAATGGGAGGAGGGGCAATGAGTTGGGGGGGGGACTGAGAGACTGGCAGGCAGAGAGAGAGAGAGAGAGAGAGAGTAAGAATGAGATGAGCAACAGGAGAGGGAGAGAGGCGGATAGCAGGCAGGAGACATGGAGACAGTGAGAGGGAGGGCGCTTGTCTTTGGGAAATGGAAATCCTTTACAATCTAAAGTGGTTTCCTCTCCCTTCCTTCCTCCATCCTGTTCTCCGTGCCCTCTCCCTCCCCCAGAGCTCCCACACTGCTAACTAGAAAACTGTCAGTGTATTTAACATTGAGCCGCTACTGGCTACAAAGCTGAGGACTTTACAAAGGAAATCTTTATATTATCTTAGAGGATAAAGCAAAAGTTTTGCTTTCTTTGTTCACTGAAAAGACAGTTCAATGGTAATTCTCAGGGTAGTGTTTTAATGTATCTATGCACCAAACATTCACATATTTACATATTGTTCCAGAGAGAAACATCAACGTTTCAGGGACAAAGAAGCGAAGAAGCCCTGCAGACTGCAAAGGAAGATGATTTTATTTATTTACCTGTCTCTTTGTCTAGATCTCTCACGCTATCTACCTCCCTCTCTCTCTTTCCTCTCTGCAAAATCTTCCTGAAAACAAGAGGCTGTCTGCTAAATCATCAGTTTCAAAGGGTCCCCTTCCTTTTCTGTCAGCCCCAGGTTATTTTTACCCCCTCCCTTCACCTCCCTGGGCCTCCTCCCATCCATCCCTCCCTTTCCAAGAGAACTCTCTGTGCCAATTTGTACTCTCTTAGTCACGCTAAGCACTTATCTTGTCCCAACTGAATGCCTCTGCAATCAAACCAACACTTATCCGGTTGTAAGGCATTCTAATGGCCGACCGATAATGAAACTCTTTCATTGTGAGTTAACAACTGGCTAAGAGATGTATGAAGTCTACATTACAAGCAGTGAAACTGTTGATGGAGGGCATGGCCCAAAACAAACCCTATGCGTCCATGGCTGCAGCTGCTGCATTCTGGGTATTTTGTGCATTAAACAATAAGCATAAATCGATAGCTGGATGTATGGGTTTGCATTTTGAAACACTCTAATGTTTAGTATTCATAAAGGCCTTGTCTGGAACTTAGTGCCAGATGTGGTGCCCAAAATACCCCTACTATTCACTTGCAATCACACACATATCATGTTGTCAAACACACACCTAGTGAAGGCTCATTGCTTTCACAATAAAACACTGTTTTTAAAGGAGCAGATTGTTTTAAATGCTTTTCACCTGGATTTTATGTCTCTCTCTGCAATTATTCTGGCAAGAGAAAGGCAAGTGACAAATTGGAGCAAGGACAAATGAAAGAAAAAAACAATTAAAAGACAATAATCAGTTAAATTATGGTGTGTTTCAGTTGCAAATGGCAATTTTACAAGTCTTTTAGTTTTTTTGGATTGTTTATTTATTTACTATTTTATTAGAATCAGATTTTCACACATTTGCTAAATAATATAATAATAATAATATACATCCATGAATTCACAGCTTTTATGGAAAATAATGAGCCCCACTCCCTGTACACTCTTACCTTATTGCTACTATACACATACTTTTGAAGGCACTGTTCTCTTTTGTCTTAAGGGCACACCACCCCGGGGTGCAGCTGCCTCTCTAACTCTTTTACCTTTTGTCCTTGTATATCTTTAGCTAATTTGTATTTGACTCTTTGCTTTTATGAACATGTGATTTATGTGCGCACATACTACAGCTTATTCAATACATACTGCAGAGCGTGATGGCCTCCATCTGTTTAAATCACAGTCCTTCAGTCATGTCTTCTTTCATTGCATTATTAGTATTGGCATAGATTTTCATTCACTGAACTTTTTATCTGATCAGAAAGAGAGACAGGCAGTCCTGTTTGGGTGTCAGCATAAACAAACTTTACTTTTCCGTGCGTATTGTCTGTACAGACATAAATTCAAAGCTGCACACATACAGAACATTGTACAATGGGACAGATGATACAATTTACACCATATGGGCCCCTTGCAGTTTCGCAAATACAGGAAGTATATTCTGGGATTATGGTGGATGTTATTTTATATTTGTCTTATAGTCTCAGTGCTTACCAGCCACCTAGTCTGTAGCTCTTAGCCTCAAGCGTAATCATCCCTACTAAAGACTCATTCTTCAATATTTGAAACAGGTCAAAAGTATATTGTTTCATTTTTAAAAAGCTTGTAATTGCCTCAAACCACCTAATGTTTTTAGCAAATTCACTAAAACACGAGTAATTACAATAGTTTATTGGTGACTATTTTCAACTGCGGATTGATTTATTTGGTGTTTTGGGAGCAGGACAGTGTGTTTGGAACTGACTCAAAATAAACATCAGTGCTCATGTTCATTGTAACAAAGGAACATGTCAGTGCAACAGTGTGGCTCACTGATGTGTCAGGTCAATGGCACAAAGGAATTGGATCAGCAGAAAATACTTGTTACTAGAATCAGTTCAGTCTTTCCATGGGATTGTTGACCACAAAAATGTGGAATATGGCAGGCCTTAGTCTTTAAATACACTTGAATGTTTGTTTTGGTTACGGTTGTGAGCACTTGATGTAAATGGCCTTTTCAGATGCAGTATGATCTTAAATAAAAGAAGGTATTATTTTTCATTTGTAAATCGTACTAAAAAGATGTCTGAAGCCATAACCGGCAAACATAAAAGTCATGAGCATGAGGCTGTACTGAAACAGGTTCTTAAACCTCAACTAACACATGATAAAATTTAATGAGTTAAGAAAATGGAAGAATAATTGATAATTATCACTGGGTTTACAGAATTTTCTACCTTCCCTTCAGCCATGCTGTAATGATGTCAGGATAGAGATTTCAATATGGTTTCAGAGCTCAAAGCTATATTTGATTATGTGATACCAAAGCAGGAAGTGGAATGATCAAGTTTATAAGATTTATATAACTGGCCAATTAGACAAGATCTACGACAATAATGAGTACAAGTACAACAGTTTTCAGTGGAGATTCACTGAAGTTTGGTTTCCCCATTTTAATGTTAAAGCAGGTAGGACTGTGCAATCATTTACTCCAAATATTTTATTCAAAGTAATCAGAGCAGATTAAGTCATTTACATCTCTGCCATCACTATCAATCAGGCTGGCTTTTCCTTCACTCACACCATTGAGGTTGATATGCTGATTACAGGGCATTTGTGCTGTTTCCTAAAGCATGTCAGTGTACCTTTTGAGAGCAGGCCTGGCAGATGAGAAGCAATCATGCTGAACACATGTTCTTGAGCGGCTCTTCCCAAGCAGACGACTACAATCATATTGATTAGTGCTTTGTTCAGACCTCTCCAACAATCAAGCAGACTCTCATCACAAGACACTTGAGTGAGCCTCATTCACCACAGAGACTATTTGAAACACATTGTGGCTGTTGGATGGTGTTCTCCGTTTTGATTTGGCCAATGACAACAATGCCAACATCTTGCTTTCAAAAGCTGCTTAACTCTGAGTATCATTAGGGTACAATCCTGAAATCATCATTATAGAGAAGTAAAAAAAAATGACAGTACTCTAGCAGTGCATCATTTAAATAGATTAAAGGATGACATGGTCATTATGGAAGTCAATACTGCTGTGCTGCATACAGTGTAAAAACACACAACCAATTCACATAGAAACACACAACTGTAATGCAAACACATGAACTGTGTGCAGCAGCAGTCGGTGGCTCACGCAAGTTGAAGTAATCTGTTTTAATTTTTACATCTGTTGACAGATATTTTAACCCATTTTAAAAACCTTTGGGCATTGATTGATTGGAGATTCAAAAAAGTTAAAGAGGAAGGGATTTATAAAAACAGAACCACTCCCCATAGTGCAGTGATTGGTCTGCCTTTAAGCTGCCAAGTTCAATCAATTCTCAATTGATGTTTTCCAGACTCAGATCTCATATCAAAATCTGAGCTTGTTAAGTATAGGATTATTTTGCAAGGCTACACCACACACTGGATTAAGTCAGAGGATGCTCACTCACCTTTGCATTGATTGGTGTTCTTGTCCAGGATGGCCTTTGTTGACACAATCTTCCCATATCTGTAAAAAACAACAATGAAACATTCTGATTAAATGTTGACTGACTTATGCTTTTTTTTAACATCTGGAGAATTATGGGATGTTCTTTGAGTTTGAAGCAAATGAGTTGTTAGCCATGCTAACGCCATGGTCGTTCAGTTGGTTCACCACCTTGGCCTAAACTGAAATATCTCAACAATTAATGGATGGATTGCCATTTAATTTTTCATGTTCTCCAGAAGATGAATCCTAATGACTCTGGCGATCCCCTGATTGTTCATCCAGGTTCACATTTGTTCGAATTGTCTCAAGATCTATTGGGTGGATTGCAATGACCTTTAGTACAGATATCACCAAATTTCAACTAAAGGTCTGTTTTGGGTTTACCCTCTCTGAAGGTTCAGGAACTTTTGGGGTGGGGCATCAAGTACTGAACGTCGCTGATTGGTCAGTTGTGCTAGGGTTTTCCTCAGCAGTGTTATACACCCAGCATTTTTAAAAACTTTAAAAACTGTAAAAACATTGCACTGTTTGTAGTTTGTGGCTTATAAAAATCAGGATGGAGCAGCCCAAGAGATTGGACTGACAACAAAGTTCAGGCTTTGTAGCAGACAGCATTATATACACGTACAAATGATGCACACTTTTGTTTCATTAGTGGCTAAATTTTCTTAATCTCCCCAAGGATTTGGCACTGCTATGGAAACACAAACCACAATACGCTGGAGGAACTTTTACCTAGGAAATCTTCTTGGGAAATTAAAGTCCCTGGAACTTTTGGTGGAAAAGCATCTTTGAGTCGTTCATCTGGTAAAAATTTCAATTTGTCCAATACTAATTATAAGATGTTTGCATGATAACATGCCTTCTAGTCTTGTTTTACATTTTAATGAGGTGGTTACATGAAACAGATTAGTTTCTAAATTAGAGAAATGTAACAACCTCTTTGGAAGAATTTTTGAAGTGCAACTGTAAAGCTGTTTTCTCAAGTTCACGTTCAAGTTCGAATCTAAAAAGCTCAGGTAAAATAAAAATGACACACAAAATTGAACAAAAACTGATCCTCACTCAGTTTCTCAGGGTGTCCACCTTATCACAGTTAAGTTTTCTATCTGGTCTTCTATCTATCCATTCTGTCCTTATCTATTTCAAACCCTAACCGCAGGCCCCTGAACACAGACAGTGCTGTCTCATAAATGATGATAATAACCAGACATCTGTATGGCATCCAATCCTGCTAGAAGGGCCTACAAGAGAAACAGACAACCTCCATTTTTCTTTCTATCTGTTCTCTCCACCAACTTTTAATGTCTCCTGTCCATTTCACTGCCTCGCTCTCTTTCTTGTGTTTGACACCTCTGCCTTTCCCTTTGTCTTCTTTCCTTATTTTCTTCTCCATCCCACTTCTATTCTCCAGCTCTCTGTTCTCAGAAAGAAGTTAATAATGTTTCTTATCAGCGCAGGCTTTCATTCCTCCTGGAAGGAGAGGAAGAAGAAACAGAGGCAGGGAAGGTATGAGGAGAGAGGAGGGAGGAAAATGCGGTGGGGGTGAGGGGCGGGAGACTGAGCCAGAAAGCTTGAATCGCTGAGATCAGCCTGGATCACTGCCTGGCTCTGTGGATGAGACTTTTTAATTAATGTTTTAACACTGCTGCACAATGACTGACTGGCTGGCTGAGTGACTATCAAACAGATTGACAGCCTGACAAACTGGCTGACTGGCTAGCTGGCTGGCTGGTGGCCCCCAGGTGAGGGATGGAAGTATATTCCCTCTACCCTTTTAGAGTAAAAAAATAAAAGTGAGACAATGGGGAGGGAGGCAAAAAAAAAACAATAGAGAAACCAGGCGAAGATGCAACGCAGGAGGTTACGAGCAGAGAAGGTGAAAAAAAAAGCGGGGTGGGGGGGGGGTGGGGGGACTCAGAGGAATGAGAAATAGACGAGGAGAGGGAGAGCAGTCAGTCAAAAGATAAAAAAGACACTGAAGGCGAAGAGGAAGCGAGGTAGTCAGGGAGCGATGGAGAGATAGTAAGAGGTGTTTAATAAAGAAGAGATCATTTAGTTGTCACCATCAGGAGAGTCTCTGTCAGCCAACTGCTTCTGTCAGTGAGAAGAAGAGAACAGAGACTAGCTCGCCTGACAGCCTCACATCAAACTCTATTGGGACAGGAGACTTTAGAAATAAAGACAGAAAAAAACGCTTTAAAAGGCTGCTATCACACATAACATGACAGCTGAGCAGCTTATGATCTCGCAATTGGTAGAGAGAAAATCATTGCTTTTTTTTCCTGAACAATGCTCAATTTTCACACATTTTCCTGCAATTTAAGATATTTTTAGGGTATTTGCAAATCCACTGATTGTGACAGGCTGAAATCAAGTCTGATGTTTGCCTGGGAATTTTCTTTCACAAAGTCATGGCTGGTGGTAAATAAGGTCTTTGGCCTGTGGTTCCGGCAACAATCCAACGTGGAAAAAACTCCAAAAAAACAAGGCAGGACTAATCGCCCACACATATACACACAAACAAACACACATGCAGACGCACACACGAGGCAACATCACAGATCAAAAACACCAAAGAGGTAATCACGCACATTACACACACCATCTGGCAGGACCCGGCTCTTTGTTGACTTCAGTCTCCATGTGATTCAAACTTGGGTGTCAGTCTGTGAGTGTAAACACCTACAGTGTGAGTGTATGTGCATGGACAGATTTGAGCATACAAATTTTTGTGTGGGTGCAATTCCTTGCAATTGTGTGTGTGTGTGTGTGTGTGTGTGTGTGGAGTGAGTATGAATGCATGACAAAGATCTCATGCACCATCGGTGTTTTGGCAGGTTTTTGTTCCCGCCAGAAAAGTGAAACATTTCCAGACTCTGTTTGTGTGTGTGTGTGTGTGTGCATGTGTATGTGTGTGTGTGTGTGTGTGTGTGTGTGTGTGTGTGTGTGTGTGTGTGTGTGTGTGTGTGTGTGTGTGTGTGTGTGTGTGTGTGAAAAAGAAAGAGCGAAGGAGAGGACAAAGAGAGAGGTACCTGGCTCAACACATTATGAATCTCAAAAAATATGTTCACAGTAGTCCGTTTTCACAGAGCGGAAAACAAATAAAGCGTATGTTTGATATGTGGCTGTGTTTGTGTGTGTGATATCGTCAGATCAATGTGTGTGACGTACGAGGAAGGTGGAGGAGAGGAGAGGAGAGGAGAAGGATGACGCCACGGCCTTGGGGAAATGTCAAATTACAACAACACTGCATCATCCAAAATGGTGTCTCACTCTGGACTTGACTCAGTGGTAAAATTCCATTTGATCCAGGCAGCTACAACAATGTGCTATTGTGGTGAAGAAATGGAGCAAAGTATTGACAACAGATCAGATGATGAAGTAAGGAGGCTGAGGATAATGTGGAAGAAGAGGAGAGAAAAGTGCAGAATGTCCTGTTCTGTGTTCAACCCCCGACTGGAAGCCTTTGGCTGATTCCAGCAGAAGCCTGGAACTTGTTGAAATAACATCAAATCGACCTGCACTTGACCCAACGGCAGTGACACAAGATACTCATAAAAACTATTCAAATACTTAAAACATAACACTAAAGGACTAAAAGAAGCCAGATGGCCAGGGTTAGCGCTTCCTTATTCCATTACTTTCCATTGTGCAACAGAAAGAGTGAGTGAAAAGGTTCTGAAAGGGATCTGAGTATGTAATTTGTTTCCACTGGATGCTCATCATAACTTAAGAGTCAGTAGTAGGAGTGAAGTGTGAAGCAACAGTGGAGCGAAGTGATCTAAATCATAGCTAGAGCTGTAGTTCTGTAACCAAACTTCCTTCAGAGCTACTTGACATACAATACACACTCAATCAAGCACTTTATTAGGAACAGCATAATAATACCGGACAAAGCCTCCATTTGTCCGGTATTGTTATGGTGTCTCCATTTGTTCTCTAAACAGCCTCAGTTCTTTGTGCCTTGAATTCCACAAGATGTTAGAAAAAATTCTTTGAGATTCTGCTCAGTGTTGTCATGACTGCATCACATCATTTCTGCAGATTTCTACAGACAGGTTGTGGCATTCAAACCATGACTGATCGGTACTAAGCATTCACCGCATCATTACACTACCACCACCACCAGCATGGACTGTTAAAACGAGGCAGTTTGGGTTAACCTTAAATCCTGAAACTAAAAGACCGGACAATGTTTCTCCAGTCTTCATCTGTCTAGTGATGGTTTGCTCTGGTCCGATTCAGTTGATTTGTTTTTTAAATTTGTAGCATTTTCCTTTTGGTTCAGTTTGTTTTAACACAGAGAAAAATTCAAGTGAACCAAAATGCATCATTACAAACCATGAGCGAACATTCACTCTGCTTATTGGTCGGATTGTCTGGCCGGAGCAGGAAAGTAAACACAGGAAGAAAGTTGCAGGAGCCGTCAAGCTCAAACCTGCCAGTGGGGTCGGATCGAGTTCGGAACTCTTTAATATAAAAAAGGAACCGCTTCAGGGTTCGTTTGGGGACCGGACCGAGACCACCTACTCGAAAGGATCTCGGCGCGATTACTGTTTTCACACCTGCCGAAACGAATTGTACCCACGGGGAAAAGAAACCAGGGTTCAGTTGAACCGGACTAAAAGACCAGGTGTGAAAACACCCTGTTAGGTGGAACCAGACTGGCCATTCTCCTCTGACTTCTCTCATCAACAAGACTTGTCTGTCCGCAGAACTGCCACTCACTGCATGTTTTCTGTTTTTCGCGCCATTCTGAGCAAAAACTCTAGAGACTGATGTGTTTGAAAACCCATGGAGATCAGCAGTTTCAGAAATATCTCCTGGAACCAACAATCACGCCACGGTCACAGTCGCTACAACATGAAACAGTTGTCAAAAATGCTCATCACAAATTGCCAAAAACATGTCCAACCATCAGACCAAACCTACTGGTATTCAGCTGACAACACAGACATCAGCAGTAGTCTTATGAAAGAAATCCTTAAAAAAAGACTTTATATGATACAGTATTC